AATTTAAGTTTATTAAAATTTTAATTATATTAAATAATTTTCTAGATACAGATAGTATTATTATTAAGATGCAGCGTCTAAAACAAACTTATATGAATACTATTCAAGAAGAGTTGATTATATACAATAATCAACTTTTTTTGACTAACTTAGTCAAAAGTTTTCTTACAACTAACTTAGATTATCTATTTTCTAATAATAGTAATGAAGTCAATTATAATCTATCTCAAGAATTATCTACTTATTCATTTCAAGATATTGAATCAATATATAATTATCTTGAAAGTTAGATTTTTTTATACAATAAACTTGAATCTGCAAATGTTTATTGAGGAATCCAGATTGCATATGCTATATAATTTATATAGACCTTTTGTATCACTTGCGGTAATATATACAATGAAATACAAAGAAGATAATAAAGTATTTCTGGACCATTTAACTTTACGTGGTCTTATTAGTAATAAAGTATAAACACTTTTTGGAATCGTTAAAAGATATGAAAGATGCTATTGGTTAGGGACTTGGTAGTTAATTGAATTGCTTCATATAACTCAATACCTTGCTATGATTCTTATTAAATCTGGACTTACAGCAAATTTTTTTATGGCTTCAACTTATGAAGAGTATGATGATTTTTTTAAAAGTCTTTTAAATAATGAGAATATTTCTCATAAAAAACTAAAATTTGAAGCATCTGTAATATAAAAAATTATAGACCTAGGTATAATTATCTAATCTAACAGACATGAATATCTGTAATATCATGTATGTGTTAAATATAATTTTTTAATTACTTATATTTTTATATTAAATTTTATATTAATATTTATATATAGCAATTATAATTTTACATTTTATATATTGATAGATAGTCTGTACTAAAGCATAAAAATTAATAAAATTTTAATAAATTACTATATTTTTTCTATATTTTAATATTTATATACAAATTAATAAAAGTGTTTTTTATTTAATTATTAAGAAAAAATATTTTTTTTTGTATACAAGGTATATATCAAAGTTTCAGTCATGAAACCAAATTGTTTAGCTTTTAACAAAAAAATTTTTTGTGAAATTTTGGTACAAACTAAATCTTTTCCTAATTCCAAATCGACTCTTAACCTAACTATAAGCAAGAGTTTAATGTTTGATTGTAAAAATTGGTTTGATTAGCATGTTACATGAATTTGCAAATTTAAAATTAATAAACCTTGTATATAATCTTAGT